TTTTTTTTTTTTTTTTTTTTTTATAACCCGAGCTTTATAAAGCTAGGGGCGCAGTTGGCGCTCTTTATTTACAATTAGTTAATAACTTATAATGAGTATTTTAAGTATTTACATAAAGTTTTTTTCTCTAGTGACTTATTTGTTTTGTATATTTTGTGAAGGTTTTGAATTTCTTTAGAAATTTGATTTCTAATAATTGTTAGAAGTGTAGATATAGGAAAAGTATTGTTACCCTATTTAAGTAAGGTATAACAATATCAAAGTTCATAGATTGTTGTGATATGTAGCCAGTTTAGCACTTGTTTGTGAGAGGAGTTCTGTATGTTTGATTCTGAAAACAGTTCTTTAAGGTTTGAAGGGTAGTTAATTGTTTCATTAAAATTAAGAAATCTGTATACTGTTTCTTAAATTTTTTCACTCAAACTACAGTCTATTATGAAGTATTCTGGTATTTGGGGTTCTTTAGTATACTAGAAACAAAATTCTGCTTCAGGTAATTCTATATATTTGAGTCTATAACTGAGAGGAAGAGACTTATGAAAGAGGCATCAGTATATATCTTTTTTCTTGTTTATAATTGTCTTTATAGATAGCTAATTTGTTCTTAGTGAGTTTGATATTATATGTTCTTGAGAAAAACTAGGCTCTGTCTTTCAAAATATTTATAAAACTTTGTTTACTATGATTTTATATCCTTTAACATCATCTAGTATAATTTTTTCTCTGCTCTAAGACCAGTTTGTATTAGCCAGAATTTTTACTTCTGCTCTTTTCCATGCTAAAAAAAAAGGTTTTTACTCTGTAAGCTAAGCTTTAGATCGAATATTGTCAGCTATTAGTACTTGTAATAGTGAAATATCTCTTTTGTCTCTAAGAATTGATCTGATTTTGTCTTTTTCATATTTAGCTCAGAAATACTCAGATAAGAGTAGTTTAAGCCAACCAGTTATTAGCCTTGCATCTAGCATATCTTTGATTATAGAAGCTTGTAAACCAAGTTGCTCATATGATTATTGAAAGACTATATATCTTAGAAATATGCAAGAGTTACTCTTGATCTATAAAGAAATTAATCTGTTTATTTCTGCTATCTGCTTTTTGTTTGACAAGAAAAGATAAGCTATATATCAGATTTTTAACAGTATAAGTGATTTAGAGAGTAAAATTTTCTCTTTAAAAGATAGGTTTTTGTTTGCAAGTTTGTCAAGTGATATTTTAAGATTACTTATAGTAGATGTCTATAGATTCTTTTTAGAAAAGCTATTTGAATAAATACTATTCTAATATTGTAATAAGTTCATCTTCCTTAACTATATGTAGCTAATTTAACTGTAGTAGCTCTACTCTAAATACAGTTAATATGAGAGAAGCAAGTTTGGTTTTGGTTTTGTTAATTTTTGCATTAAAAGCCTGTTTATAAGTTTCTAGAAGTTTAAAGATATATTCCTAATCTAAGAGAGAGCTAATTCCTATTATGAGATTATCTGCATAGACTATAAGTTTGAAAGACTGATATCCTAGCTTAATGCTTTATAGATTATTTTTTAAGTTTAGTAATAAGAGTTCAAAGGCAAATATATATAGAAGAGGTGAAAATAGATCTCTTTGTCTTACTCTTTTTTCTATTCTGAAAGCTTTTAATAGTTCTTCAGTTTCCGAATATAAGTTTCTTGATTTGTAAAGAGGTTTTTAAAGAGATAAACTTCTTGTCAAAGTTCATTTTTTCTAGAACTAGCTCTAGAAACTCATGACTTATACAATCAAATACTTTCTGTTGATCTAAGAAGAGTATCCAATATTATTTAGTATTGTCTTATTGACTTCTTAAAGTTATTATAATATCTATCACTGCATCTGATATTGATCTGTTTTTTACAAGCCTTGTTGTTGTGAAGAGATTATTTCTTGGCATATTGTATTTAGTTTGTTTGCTAAAATTTTCATAAAAATTTTAGCATCACTATTCACTAAAGAAATTAGTCTTTAATTGTTTAGATTTTCCAAATCTAAAGATTTTTTTAGGATAAATATAATTAGGTTTTTATACTAGAATTTAGATAAAAGGCCTAAAAGTAGTACTTGATTAAAAAAATTGTGTAGTAGAAGTGTGATTGCTTCCTCTGTAAGTTTATAAAATTCATAAGTAAGACCATTAGAGTCAAGTGACTTGTTATTCAGAAGGCTTCTAATCATAATTTTTATTTATTTAAGGAAGATTTCTTGTGTTAGCAGAGAGTTCTGTAGTAGTGTTCCGAGTTGGTAAAAATTTTTCTAATTGATTAGTTGCCAACTATAGTTGCAACTAATCGATTTTCCTATCATGTGACTAAATTTGTTGATTAGCTAATCTAACTAAAAAAATCAACATGAACTAGCTGAATAGACAGAATATCTCGGAATTTAACTAGTTGATGATTTAATCGATTAGTTGTTTCAAAATTTTCCAAATTGATTAGTTGGAAAGTTATCAACTAGTTGGTTTTTCAACTAATGATTTGGATCACTATTTTGTAGTTTCATAACTTGTAGAGCTTCTTTAATAATTTTTATTAGCAGCAACTAGATTATTCTCTTCTTTTTTGTAAATTTTTGAGTATTCTTCTCTTATATAAGTAAGAGTACTATTCTTGTTCTGAGCTATATTCGAGATCTTTAATTTTACTAAAAGCTGAGTAAGATTTCCTAGATTTATATTTTGAAAAGAAATATTTTATCAATTTTTCTCCTTGTTTTATCCATTTTGTTTTAAAGTGGAGATACTATTTTTTTGCTAGAGTAGTAAGTTCTTCTTGTAGTTTAGAGTTAAAATTATTTGCTTAAGTAGAAAAATATCTATTCGTAAAGTTTTTAGCAAGTTTTTTATTTATCTGAGTAATTTGTTTGTTAAGTATTGATATTTTGCTTTTTGGAGGTTTTGGTTTTTTGAAAGCCTTAATGATTAATTAGATATATATTTTGCATAAGTTCTAATTATTTGTATTCTCATTTTCTTGTATTTCTTCTATTATTTCTTTTTTTAGTTTTTTGTTATAGAAGCAGTTTTTATTAAATTTTTACAAAGATGACTTGTTTGTATTTAATGTAAACTTTAGCATATATTCTACAAGAAGATGATCAGAATTGCTATATTTAGTATTAGTTTCCTAAATAGAGTAAGTATAGTTTTTATCTATAAAGATATAGTCTAAGTGAGTTGCTATCATTCTATTTCCTCTTGTTTTCTGAAAAAAAATATGAAATAGTTTGTTAGTTGCAAGCTCTGAGGAGTCGATGAAGTTTTTTGTAAGATCTTTAAGCAGAGCTCTTGTTGGATTATTCTGTAATGAAGACTTACTAATTCTATTATGTTCAGGATATATATTAGTATTGAAAGTTTTCTGCAATGATGTTTTTATATTTTCTTTTATTTGAGAAGACCAGTTGTTAAAAAAAATTAATCGTTCACTTTAATTAGAAGATGCATAAATATTTGTGAGCTGAAAGGTTAAATCTTTATAGCTAAAGTTTGTAATAATAACTCTACTATTTGCTTCTATTTTGGAGTTTTAGAAAGTTATATTTTTTTGTCTGCTAATATAGCTGTTTTGCTTGATCATATTGAGTCAATAGTCCATTGTTGTTATAAAAAAGTTTGCGTATCTTTGTTGTTAAGATTTGTTTCTTGAAGCATTATAATATCTAGATTATAAGACTTAAGAAGTATAAAAGTATTTTTTTGTTTTTGTTGATTGTTCAGTTCTTTAATATTTAGGGTTTCAATTTTTATCTTTGAGTTTTTAAGCATAAAAATTGATTTGAAATAAAATTCTAGATCTGTACATTTTAGCTCTCATTACAAGTTTTTTTCTTGTAAGAAGCTATCCTTAATTCTTTTTGTTTTTGTGCAGCTACTTTCTTTTTGTCTTTTTTTCTTTTGTTTGTAGCAGTTATATATTTTCTTTCTAAACAATCAAGTTCTTGTAGTTCCTGATTAATGTTTTCAATAATAATCATAGGAGAGATTGCCTCTTAAGCTGTTTCTTTGTTAGAGGTAGTATTGTCTATCATGTTTGTATCTTCAGTATTTAGAGTTGTATTCTCTGTTCTTTTTGGTATGCTAGCTTAAGTATTATTACTTTCATTAGTTCTAGAGGTATCCTGTTGCTCTTCTGTAGAAGAGTTTTTAGGATGTTCATCTGTATATATTTCTTGAATTGAAGAAGAAGAAGCTAATATAGTTTTTTCCTCTAGTAGACTTGAGATAGGTTTTGAAGTTTTTTTCTTATTTTTGTTACTTTGATACTCTTTAAAGTAATGATAAAGTGCTAAGGCTTCTTGGTGTTGTTCGCAATCTCTTTTAACATAGCCTTCTTTGTTACAAAAGAAGCAAACCTTAGAAGCTAATTTCTATTCTGTAGTAATTTTGTTTTCTAGCAGAATATAAAAATAAGAAATTCTTTTTTCCAAGTCTAGGTCATTTGTGATATCAAAAATAACAACCTATTAGTCTGTTAAGTAAGGAGTTCCTTCGATTAGAAGTAGTTTAATTGAAGCAATTTTTCTATATCTTTAAAGGCTTCTTTAATAGCTTCAGAGACTAGGTTTTTTTCTAGTAGAGAAATGTTTCTAATTTTAACTGAGAGAAAGGATCTTCTATTATCTGTAGGAATAGAACCAAGATATGTTTTGTTAAAGATATCTATTCCTTTAACTACATACTCTTATAATTTTTCTTTGTTGATGAAGATAATTTCTAAGTAAGTATAGATTCCTTTGCTAATATGTAGTTTTGCTGCGACTATGTTATTTCTTATATTATCATAGAGAGATATTATGATATTATTTAGAGAACAGTTTTTTAGACTGTTAATATCTAGCACTAAGGTATTATTATTTTTGGATCTGATAGTACTTTTCAGAGAATAAGAAGTAAAAGTAAATTGGTCTCTTTTAACCTTAGCAAATAGGCTAAACTAGGATTTTTTTTGGTTCCTTGAAAACTTGAGGTATTTGCAGGTATTTCAAGGTAAGATTCATTTGTTAATATGGCATATACATCTGTTGTTTTAGTTATGTTAGCATTGTTTTGCATAATATCACATATTTTTTTATCTGTTGTTTTGTTAACTTGTTCTTGTTTTTTTCTGCTTCTTGAGAAATATTAATTTTTTCTTTTTCAAGCTCTTGACTTACTTGTTCATTCTAATTAGAGAAGTTAACTAATAGTTTCTTTTGCTTAGAATTGTTATTATTTATATCTTTTTTGGTAGTACTTGTAGCAGAGTAAAGATTTTCTTTGTTGCTATTGCTAGCTTACAAGCTTTTAGAGCGTATAATTTTTTTGTTTTTTAAGTTTTCTAAATACCAAAGTTTACATTTCTTTAGAACTAGAGCTAGAGCATGAGTTTTGTTAAAAAAAGAAGTTTTAGTTTCTTTAGTATTAGGTATTTTGTAAAAGGTTTTTTACTCTCGAGCCTAACTTTATATGATCAGAAAAAAGTATATGTAGATTTTTTTTTTTTGTTTATCAAATTTAATTAGGTAGTTGTTAAGATATCTTCATTTTAAGTTTGTTTTTAAAAAAATTTCATGGTCTTTATTTAATATTTTGAATTATATATTACCTTTGAGTGAAGATATCTCCAAACTATCTGATAAAATTTGATAATTTTTTTAAAAAATGATATTATGAATTCAAAGAATTTAAATAATAAGTTTTTATTGAATTTTAAAGTTTTTTAAAAAAATTATGAGAATATTAGTAATAGATATTTTGAATTATATATAAACTTAGTGTAATAATATAGGGTCTTTGCCTTGAAAATCAAGTATAAATCATATGATTTACTATATCCTATAATGGTATTTTCAAGGCAAAGACCCTATATCTCAATTACATCTAATGAAATTTGATGAAATTTTTTTATTTTGATTTTTCAAATCTATATAACTAAGTTTAAAAAAATTTTATCAAATTTTATTTTTTTTTTATTTTTTTTTATTTTATTATTAAGGCCACTTTTTTGGCTGATTAGATTTTATTAGTTTGTTATTACAGAACTATTACATGAATAGTTTCCTAAGATTTATAGTTACATGATGAGTGTACAACAAGCCACACGTACAACTTTAGTCATTGTCTAATTTAAGTAGTCCGCTATACAGACAATTGACTATCTGTTGGTTCTACATTATGCTACCATACTTGCAACCCGCCTGTGAGTTACCTATTTAAACACTCTGATCATTAATCCTTCCTCCCATCCCAAACTAACGTCACCACTATGACCAACCACTTAAGCCAGCTAGTTCACCCGTGGATCCATTCTCTGCACAGCTTAGGTCCTCTCGGGATGTATATGCCCAATGTATTGTGAGCTGCAAAGCTCTAGTTAACCTCAAAAGTAATTCCTACCAGAGTGGTCATGTGCCCATTTCATAGATTTACCTGGATTAGACCTTTGTCGATATTCGTATGAACCCAGTTCCTGCTGTGGCCATCTACTAGATATAGTCTTCCAAGTTCTAGCCAGATGTTTTATGAGGTAGATCCTCCCAATCTAGTTAGCCACTAAGCCAAGTTAGTGTTGCCGCTAATGCAAGGTACCAGGCTGTGTTACATAGCGGACTTACTCATACCTATCGATCTCATATCCTTTGTACTCAGGTTTTTCATCAGATCAGGCGTTAACTAGCTTGACTGTCGAAATCTGTATTACTTCACCAAACTCAGGATTTCTACTATGCAGGTCCCTTGCTTGTAGATCCTATCAAGATTTATTCATGCAATGTAACTCGAACATTGTATCATACTTCCAATATCCGATTGACATCGGTGCAACATGATTTACAGGGTTGTAACTCCCAGAAACGAGCAGAGTTTACCGTAAGTTGGATACAAAGGTCTGAGTAATTATTCAAATTTGTCAACAGTGGGATTTGAACTCCAGACCTCTTGCATGGCAGTCTGGCAACCTAACCACTACACTAAGATCACCAGACCTTTTATCAAATTTTATTAAATAGTTGTTGAGATATCTTTACTTAAAGTTTTTATTTTTTTAAAAATTAATTGATATATATAATATTATACAGAACTGTTGTATAGTAGACTCAAAAAGTATATCATAGTTATATAAAAAAACAACATAAATTCATGCAAAATATATGCATACATAATAAATTAATAATAGAATTTATTTATTAATATCTGAGCATACTTAATCTGTAAATCCTTTGTACTAAATTTTCACAAAAAAATTTTTTCAAAAAATCAAATTTTCTTAAAATTTTATTAAATAAACTAAGCAAGTGCTCTTAAGTAAATTTGCTCTACACATATTTTTTATATCCTATTAGCCTAGTTTTATAACTCTCACTTTCTTTTAAGCAGAGTTTTATTTAAAAAACTAAGTACTTCAGAATTCTAAAATATCTTTAAAACTAGTTTCTAAATCTCTTTTATACTCTTAAGTAAAGTTGTTGGCCAGCTTCTTCCAGTTATAACAAGTCCTAAATCATCTTTCTAGTACAAAAATTGAGCTCTCTAGTATCCCAAACAGCTTTTAAAAATATCTAAAAATATTTTTTTTGTTCTAAAATTTCTTACTTTTTTGATAATCAATTCTCCTTCTAATTCTAGCCAAAACTGTAACTGTAACATAAATTACAGATTACTAAATCTGAATCTTATTAAATTTGTACAAAATTTATCTTGCATACAAGATTTGTAATTCAAATTACAAATCTGACAAAATTCTAAAAATAAACAAACTATTTATAATTTCTAAAAATACTTATATTTAATTTTAGTATATGAAGTATAAAGTCTTACTATTTTAGTAAAGTTATATGTACTATATTGTATACTACCTCAGTCACACTAGCTATACTAGCTACATTAGCTATACTAGCTATACTAGCTACACTTATTATACAAGTTACAAGTACAATACTATTTAAGTAATATTGTATAAAACAAATTTTATCTTGTTTCGAAGCTCTCTTTAATCTTTTTAATCTTAAGATATCTAAAATATACTTTTACTTATTATGGAAGAGCCAGACTCTTACAATATTGATTACTATTATTCTAAATACAAAGACTATTATAGTATTAGAATAACTGAACTTAATTCTGATAAATTACAGATTCTACTAGTAGATATTAATCCTAAAATATATGATGCTAGCTTAACAAAAAAGCATCATTATTTTAAGGTCTCTACTCAACCTAAACTTACTACATGTTTATATGGCAAATATTATATGAACTTTACTTTCTAATTCTACAAAATCTCTTCACAAACAGTTCTAGGAACAGCTCTTATGAAAATATTTCTGCTAAACATTTTAACAAAATTACAGATAAACTACAAATTTCATCTATTCTAAAACAACAACAATAACAACTAACTGCTAACTCTAAAATCTTTTTTTCAAACTTTAATACTAACTTAGCACCTTCTAAAATTACTTCTTATTCACAATATTACTATACTTGTTTGTATTATAAACAAAAAACTATCTTATGTATCTATCTTATTGATACTAAGCATGTACCTAACTATATACAATATATTATTTTTAAAAACTTCTTATTATATTATAATTGTATTTCTAAACTCTAGAATATTAAACTTACTATTAAACCTCAAACTTTACTATTAATATTTAAACAAAAATTAGTACTTATAGCTATGAAAATAGTTAAAATGACTCCAAAAGAGAAAATTACTCTCTTTAAAACTATCTTTTCAAAACTATCTACTTCTAACTCTAACTAATCTAAAGATAATATTTCAGAAACTACAATTGATGATGAAAATAATAATTAACATAAAAATCAAATAGATATAAATGAAATTACTTCAAATAAATCTACTAAAACACTTCTAACTTTTGACTAGATCGCAAACTTTTTAATTTCTAAAAATATAGAAGTAAATCTAAACTTCAAACAATTCTCTCTTACAACCTTCTTAAAAACTATCTATATAATTTTTATTCTGGAAAAGAAACTAAACCTACTACCCAAACTCAAAAAGCCTTAAAAGCAACCTTTAAACAACTTATTAGGACAATGACTAAGGTTCACTCAAAGTTTTTAACTAACTTTATATTTAAAAGCAACTTAAATATTAATCCTAATACTACTATTCCCTTTAATATACTTGAAAATACTTTAAAAAAACTCATCTACAAATTCACAACTATTCTTTTTACCAAACTTAACTATAGTTCTATCTTTGTATCAGAGCTAATAATTCCTTTTTACAAAACAAAAAACTGAATGCAATTCTGCATTAATTTAGCTTGTATTTACTTTTATCTCTCTGATAACTACTATGCAATTGACTACAAGAAATTTGCTAAGGATTTCAACTTTATTCCTAAATGTTTTACTAT